GCCTACCTTTGTGTTCATTCATTCATTCTGCTAAGAGTAAAACAATTTATAGGTAACGCGGGCGTGCGTTAAACAAAAGTAAAGCTGTAAGAAGGAAGGATATCACGAAGTTCCCCTAACGGGCAAGGCTCCTTGCTCCTCTTCCTAGGTTCGCTACCGTTCCAATTCATTGCGTGCCTTTCCATAGATATAACATTTTATAAACATAATTGTATGACAACTTTTGTGGTTTTTATATTTTGTTAAGTGCTATATATTTTTTCCCATTAGTTTATCGGTACATTTAAAGCAAACAATACAGTTCCATTCATCACTGGGATCCTGCGCCTTTACATGACAGGTCTTGGTTCTGATTTTCCCCATCCCCTGCCCTCCCTTCACCCTCTTCACCCTTCCCTGTTTACAAAGACTTTGTTTCCAGTTTTTCCTTTGTTCACATTGTTTCTTCTCCCTTACTTCGTCTCCACTCCCCTTCCCGCTTCCCCTTTAGCCATTTTCGTCCTATTTCGCCCTCTCGACTACACCATTTAGTGCCGTATATTTTGGCATCTATGCATATTTCATTTATACCCTGTATACTGAATGTATTTTATATTTTAGGTAACATCCCATCTTAGTGGGTAAGAACTACCCAAGCCTTTCTAAAACAGCTGTCAGATATGTCCTTTAGTCGATTTAACCTCCTGAGAAGCAACAAGTCATTTTTAATCGGGCTGGTTTTGCCGCAGTGAATGTCACAGCACTATGAATAGTGTAAATGCAAACCCCTTTATATACATATATGCCTGTGCGCATATCTGAGAGCGTATCTACCATGAACTCCTAGAAGCAGGAACTGGTAAAATTTGTCAAACTGCTCTCCATTAGTTATGCTAATTTTCTCTCTTGCCAACAATGTTATTAACCAAAATTTTACCAACATTCGGTGTCTTATCAAAATTTAACAACCTAATGATTGAAACATCTGCATTTCATACAAACTAAAGAAAAGCTTTCATTGATAGAATAAGGACTTTTATGGCTCTGGGACAATGATTATTTGGACATATAGACACAAAAAAATCAAATCCAAATAAATTTAAACTCACATGTGATAGGTCAAACTGTAGAAATACCGGAAGAAAATATGGGAAAGTATCTTTCTGATGTGCAAGTAAGGAAGGATTTCTTTAACAAGATCTTAAACTAGCCTAAAAAGTTAATAAATATTAAGTGAAGAACATCTGATTATTAAAAAGTGCTATGAAGAACTGAAAAGATGCCGAAATCTGGAAGAAGCAATGGCTTAATATCCAAGCTACATAAAGAACTTCTGCAACTCAACACAAAATGAATAAAAAAATGGACAAATGCAGATGTTTCACAAGCGAGGCAAGGTGGATGTTGAAAATGCATGTGAAAAGAGCTCAATTACTATTTAAGGAAATGCAAATCAAGATCTCAAGTGAGATACCGCCTTATTCTCTGACAAATTCATGTGCCAGAATCACAGAGGCTCTTACACAATTGGGAAGAGTGTGGGCAGCTACTTTGGAGCGACTGAGATGATTATTCACCATCCCATGCCATCCTAGTTGCGTATTTTATGGTTCACTTTTATACCCTGGAGAAAATCCGTGCAAAGAATGTTCACGGCAAAAATTGGAATCAACTCACATGCTCATTGACTAGACAATGACTAACTGTCTTCTTCTTTTACACAGTGGAATACTGTATAGAAATTAAAGCCAGCCAAAATGTGGACTTGAAAACTAGTCCGTGTGGTTTTCAACGCTGGCTTTGTAACGTCAGGTAAGTTGCTTGGTTCTTATCTCTATTTTCTGTTATTGTTCCCTGGGAGGAAGTGGACTAAGTAGGCACAGGAAAGCTCTTAGGACAATTTCCGGCACATGGTGAGTGTGGGACATAGCTGTTATTACTGACGGAGTGGAGGCAAGGTTTGGATGGGTCTAAACACAAGATCAAGAAATGGAATTTGTCGCGCATGTTGACCCTGCAAGGGAACACGCGTACTGAAGGTAAGTGGGACGGTGAAGGCAGGAGGCTCCAAAGGCAAAGTCTCTGGAACCGAGGAAGGGCATGGCGTACCAGGACGAGGGCCGCCACTGCTTGGAGAACGCGAGGGCAGGAGGAGAGGGGAGGGGAGGCAGGGACCTGGTGGAAGGGAAGAGACGCGTGGACAGCAGGAAGTCCCCTGGGACGCACAGCTGGTCAAGGACACAGTGGCGTCCCCTAGCCACACTTTTGTGTATCTGAGAATCTTGGTGGGACTGTCTAGAAGTTTCCCTTTACCTTACAGAGTTATTTCTTGAGATTTATTGTGGGGGGGATCATTTTTGTTTTGTTTTCGCTTTTGCCGCCTTCCTAGCACTGTCCAGAAGTTTAATTATTAATTTCAGGGCTTTCCTCTTTTGTGCTTTGCAATCCCGAGATAATAGATGTGGCTTAATCTTTTATATGACCTGCAAAATCCAGGCCCACTTTTTTCATAAAGAAGACCCAAAACACCAAGGGTATGATGATGAATGAATAAACTAACCGTGATCTTATTTCTAAGCCCATGTTCTAGGACTCTTCATTCACTGAATAGTGTCTCAGAATCTCACACATCACTATGGCATTTCACAGTGTAGCTTTTTCAAGTTTATTACAACATCACAAGTATTGCTCTCTAACAACAGTGTGAAGGAGGCCTTCCTTAGGTTCCTTTTTACAGGTGGAGACAGGGCCATGATGTGGAAAAAAAGGTGTGTCCACTATGACACATTGTTTTCACCTGGTCAGCTCTGAATTTAAATTGTGAATCTGCTACCTATCAGCTGGGTAAATATTCCTAGAGTTGGATGAGGTGTGATGACCCATCCCTCACAGAGCTCTGTAAACTTTCCATGAGGCTGTGGCCCACAACAGCACGCCCTGAATGGCAGCAGTCAGTATAGTTCAGGGGTAGAGCCAGGTGGAAACTTCCCAGGCTAAGGCAGCACACGCCCGGGACAAGTTGTGGGGAGGAGTGAGGACCTCATTTGTCGGGGCTGCAGCAGATCGGACCAGGCTCCTGTTCTTAGGCTATTCTTTCCCACAGTGTCTCAGGGGATGCCGCCGTGACTTTAACATAAATCCATCACCCTATGTTATGCCAGTGGCTAGAAGTTACAACTTTTCTTTCAGTTTTGGGTCACCAGGACTAAGCTCTGATGGTGAAGCAGGAGCATTTTTTGATTCCTGATTATGATCTCATGAAAGGAATGACATTTTTCTATGTAACTCCATCATTACAGCCTTTAAGGGGGGGTGGTCCCTGAATGTGCTATGTTGTTAAGTTCTCCCACCATGGCATAATCTTAAAACTGAAATCTTAGGGCCGGGGATTTAGCTCAACAGTTCGGTGGCCTGCCTTGCAAGTGCAAGGACCTGAGTTCAATCCCCGGTACCAAAAACAAAACAAAACAAAACAAAACAAAAAAAAACTGAAATCTTTAGTTTCAAAGCTATATTGGATGATGAAATAAATACCCTGGCAGGGATGTCATAACTTCATGTCTTAACTCAAGAGTAGGTGTCAGTAAGTGTTTCTTGGGTGAATATTGAACCCTGAATGAAAATCTGGCTGAATAAACCCTTCCCGGAACCAGCATGTCCTTCACCGTGTTGCACACAAATTACAAACTATGAAGACTCTCTAGTATATGTGCTGCCAAAGTGAGCAAGCATGAAAGACTTTCTTTAATCTCCACGTGGGGCTATTTCCCTCCTTATTCTTCCCCTTACAGGTAAAAGTTGTTTTACATTATGAGGAAGCTCTTTTGAAGCAAAAAGTTTATTATTTATTTCTCATTAATTAAAGTGGCAAAATCAGAGAGGACTAGCTTTTCCTTTGAAGTAGATCAGTTCTTTCAAGTTAGATCAGGTTTCACATCAAGTAAAGGCATAGTCCCTAGAGTACCAGGGCAATACAAGTTTTCTTCAAAAACATTCAAAGGTTTGCCTGATGCATGGGAGTTTTTTGTTATTTATTTATTTATGTATTTATTTATTTATTTATTGGTAGGCAGAGGAATTTTCTGATTTGTTTTTCCTTTTAAGAGTTCCTGGTAGGATGCTGTAATGTGATTTTCATCTTCAGTCCTCCACTGAAAATGGTATTTTCCATGTTTAAATTCAGCAATAACAACAAAAATCTCTTCCCTCATCTAAGGACTTGGTATCCAGATAACAAATGGCTTCTTACATTTGACTCAACATTCCCAAAGTTTGTGTTAGGAAACCCTGAATTCCTGAGCGCTTCAGGCTTCTTACCGGGTTTCTTTTTCTTTTTGTCTCCTTGACATTCGATAGGTGAAAGGCATCAACACTACCTCTTCATTTTCCCCCAGCGCTGCGAATCCACTCTGAGGTTGCTTCACCACTGCTGTGTGGGAAGGGCCTTCTCGGCCTGGGCTTCCCAAGGGTTTGGGGGTCCAAGGCACCAGGCTCTTCTCACAGTTAGGATGTCCCTAAGATGGAATTTGCTAGCAAGTTGACAAGGGAGAAGTTCTTAAGAGTGTCCTGCCATGGTCTGAGCCTCCATACCCCTCCGGAGACCTTTGCCTCTGGAGGAGAGGCTTGGCATACACATCCACCCAGCCATTTTACCTTAGCAAAGGCTACCTATTTCCTTTCCACCTAGTTTCTTCCCTTCAGGAATGCTTATCTCTGGAGGAAGGGCTAGCTCCTTGTCTCCTGGGAGTTGCACTTCTGAGCCCCTTCAGATGGGAGCAGCTCAGTGCCCCAGGCCCCCACCTGATCCCAGAAGTGACCCGCTGTGGACTGTCCCCCTTCACTGCGGCATTATTCAGACACTCCCACCGAGCCCACAACAGCAGGACTTCGGTGCCTCAGTTTCTTTCAAATCGTGGCCATAGCCCTCCATTTTTAAATGACACTCATAACAAGAGCATTCTTCTTAAATTTTTAATGGAAAAAAAAGTTTTAAGACTTCAAGTTGCATCGATGTCGTATCTTTTATGTCATGACACAGACAAAATTATCTGCCTCCTGGTCTTCTCCACACACAGCTGATGCTCATCTCCTGGGGAGAGGCTGTGGCCCAAAGACAGTCACTGTTGCAAGAAGAATTCAACTCCAGCTCGTGGGGAACCAGCCTCAGGGTGAAGGGAGAAGGCTGCCTGGTTCTGAGCTTCCAAGGAGGCTTATGCTGAGGTCGGGATGAAGGAAAAGTCACGCGAGCCTCATATATCTCGAGCATGTCTGCAGGTCTTCCTGATCAGCAGAATTTCTCAGCACTTTGCCAGCACTACAGCAGCAAGAATTTGAAGAGAGAAACAAGTGTTGTGTGTCTGACAGACTGAGAACTAGAAACTCACTTTAACTGCTAGACTACTTGGACTTGGCCAATGCATAACTTTCTGAATTCTTCACTAAAGACCGTTTGTCTCGTGAGGGCAAAGCCGACCTCGGCAAGCACTGGCTGGAAGCTGAGATGAATCTGTACATTCTTTCGGGTTTCCAGGTGCAGTGTAATTAAGAATAAGAAGGTCTGGTTGAACCATGATGACCCTAATTATCTTTATTGAAAACACAAATGAGGAGGCAATAGAAGCCAGGGGACAAGAAAAGCCTGTTCCTAAACCAGAACTATATTTAAAGAAAAACTAAGAGCTTGGGAAATTCCATTATTGGTGTATTCGCCTGTATTTAATTTTCTCACAGGTTGAGTATCTTAAATTCCTCCGGCTCTGATCCAGAAGTTATTAAGGTGTCGTCGTGAAAGCTCTAGGAACAACTGCCCGAGTTCAAGGTCTGCACCCTCTGCTTATTGGATGTGGGATACTGGGAAAGTTACTTAAATTATCTAAGCCTCAGTCTCATTGTCTGTAAAATGAGAACAGTAAAACTACCCACAGAGCTGCTGTGAGACCGAAATAAGACAATGTGGCCACCTTGTCAGGCTTTAACATCTGCAGAGCTTAATGAATCCACGCTATTGCTGCTTTATCTAATTTGGATGTTTGCGGTGGAGAAATGAACTGAACGTCATCTTCAGCCCCAGGGGGCTCTCAGCCCTGTCCTTCCCACCAATTTAGGCACGGCGACCCTGAGGATCCTCAGTAATCATAGCCTCCCTTGCATTTCACAGTCCATATTCCCTAAGAAGGGAGATACCAATGCAATTCCTATGATGTTTACTGCTGCCCCGCACAGAGCCTGTCCACTCAGGAACACGTGAGACTTGCCCTTCCAGAGAGACCCACATCGCACTGCTCACCAGAACAGCCAATAACCACTGGCAGGGAGGTTATTAGACCCCTTGGAAAATGAAGTGTCAATAACCACACAACCTTTGTTGTTAGTGAACATAAATGGTCTCCACTTCTTAGTGTATGAGGCATAATAATGCACCCCATGTATCCCCTTCCCTAAAAACTAAGGTGCTCACCACATCGACAAAGCTTTGCTTGGCCCGGGCATGGTGGCACATGCCTGTAATCCCAGCACTCGGGAGGCTGAGGCAGGAGGATCGCTGTGAGTTCGAGACCAGCCTGGACTACATAGTGAGTTCCAGGTCAGTCTCAACTACATAGTGAGACTCTGTCTCAAAAAAACAACAAACAAACAAACAGACAGACAAAGCTTTGCTCATTATAGTCTCTCAACAGCAAACCGTAAGATGTTCCATATTTAATAATTCCACCACTTACAAGGTAGCCGCAAAGGCATGAAAATCTGCATGGGGAGCTGATTGTCTTTGCACTGCGTGGTGAGAATGGAAGGTCAAATCTTATAGAAAATATACTTTGAGAAAGGGGATCTTAGATCAGAGGCAGTGTTGCAGAATGTTCCTGTCCTGGAACATTTACACTCTGTCAGTATCACCCAGTTGAAAGTGGGGGGAATTCCAGATGATCTGAACAGGAGATGGGTGCAAAAGGGCTCGTGCAGGGATGCAAAGGTCCTCACGAACAGTGCCTTGGTGTTCAAATCTCTGGCCACATCGGTGTCTGGGATGCCATTTCCCGGGGTGGGGGCGGGGCACTCACTCATGCTTCGTTGTGGAGTCGGTCACTGAGACTCTGTGACCTTAGAAAGGTGGGGGAGAAAGGGGCGGCCAGAAATGATACCAAACACGTGTGCGAGACCACTTTCCAACGCTGTACGGAGCGCAGATTCACCTGCCGGCACCCCTTCTGTGGGGGAAGTGTGAGCCCCGGGGAGCTGTCAGCAACCAAGCCGAAACCCTCTGGCCACAGTGAGTACTTGATCCAGGCTGGACTAAGGAGATTTCGCCTGTGAGTTTTCCCTACTGGTAGAACAAGAATCTCTTTGTTTTGATTGGCTCGATAAAGGACAAAGCTTGGGACTGTGGTGGCCTTTTTTTCCTTCTACCTGCTGTCAGGCAGCCCCGGGACAAAGTCATACTCAGAGACAGAAACATAGCTGAGTGACGGCGAACGTACCGGGATTTGTTAGAGGAGCTGGATCTGACCTTGCACGTGAGAAAGGAGTTTATGCTGCTTGCACCGAAGAGTCCTAGACAAAAGGCAGAATGATGACATTTGTTTTATGAATGAGCAAATCCAGCTGTAGAGAGCAAAGTTATCTTTCCCTGGAAGTAGCAGTGATGAAATTTAAATCTGGATAATCTTGTCTCCCAAAGTTTTGCTGTTTCTATCCTGCTGCCTCCTTGGAGGTTCAGAACAAACTATGGAACTCTTTCTAGATGTCTGAATTGTCCGAGCATTGTAACTACTGTAACACAGCAAGGTGTTTGCCATAGATTTCTCATTTGGTTTAAGATAACATGCGTTTAAGAATTGCTGACAATAGCTTTGGTAAGAGGCCACTTTTTCCTGCACCAAGAGACTCCAGTGGTCCCACTGGGTTACTCGGGCAAGCAGGGAGTACAGGGACCAGCAGAGTACCTCACTCTAGATGAAGAGCGAGGGAGTGCACCTGCATTATGAACGAGATGGAGAAAGCATTATAAGGATACACCCAAGAACAACATCACATGAAGAGAAACATTCCTGCCGGCCCAGAATATAGACTACAGAGAAACAGAGGATGAATTTCAGAGAAAGTGGAGATCTCACAAAGTTCCAAATCACAGGGGCTTAACATGGAGATCGCGGTAGAAGGCTACAGCAACTACTCCAAGAACTGTACTCATAGTTATGCTGGTCACTTCATTCATTTACTCATTTCCTCCACAAATATTTAGTAGGCAACTATTATGAACATGGGGGACTCAGCAATTAAAATAAGATTCCTGCCTTCAGAGTCTTTGGAGTTGGTGGTCATGTAGAGGAGTCACTGGTGTTCTGTGAGTGAAAGCATGAGAGGGGGAGAGAGAGAGAGAGAGAGAGAGAGAGAGAAACAGAGACAAGTGAACTAGAATGCCAATATTGAGTTCACAGCTACCACCAATGCCAGTAGAGACAGTCTTTCCCTGTGGAGAGCCATCCACTTGACAAATACACCTAGAAGGGGTAGAGTCTTACGCAGTAACACCTGGATGAGGAGAAATTCTGACAACTGCTGATAGCTTGAAGGATGAGGATAAGGACAGTGGAAGAGAGGACTCTGGCATGGAAGCCAGGGAGGTGCCAGGTCAGCCACACCCGTGCTGGCTTCCTGAGGCTGCGTCTCATACTAACTGATCCGATGGAACAGGATATGCGGCTGGGGCCCCAACTGCTGGAACAGGGGCTAGAAGGAGTGAGCTGTCAAGGAGTCACTGCTCACTAACTTCACATGCAGCTGTAAGGGCTACAAGATTGGTTTATGTGTTTATTATTTTGGATAGGATCGGGTGTGTTTAGGTGGGATGGATGTAGATTTCATATTTATTACTTCATCTGCTCTTCGTAGCAGCACTGAGCAGCTTTCTGACCACTGTGCGGTATTTCTTTCAGTGTGATTTGTGGAGGGAATTGACTCACCCGGGAGTACACAGACCACCACACTGCAGGTTTGGGACCTGACCTTCACTTTTGTGTGTGAGTGTGCGAAATGTACCCTCTAGCTCTCCACGCTTGTTTCTTCTGCTCTCACTCAAGAGGCTTTGCCACTGAAGCGGCCGAGAAGATGCTAATTAACAATCAAGACTGTACAGGCACCAGTTTCTTGCTGGAGAAGAACGCTCGCCTGGAGGCCTTCACCATCAGCCGTGGAGCAGCAAAGCTGCCTGTCACTCGCTCAAGTCATTCAGTTAGTGAGCACCGCTTGGCGGGAAGCGGTTCCCCTGCGAAGACACTGGGACTCTGCTGCTGCTAAACTCAAGCCTTGCCTCTGTCGGCCTCGCCAGCCTCACTGGTCTGTCTCACTTCTCCCAGCACACGTGGGTAGCAGCATGGTCCCAGCCGCACAGACGAGGAAACGGAGGCATAGCGAGGAGAGGTAACTTGCGTGAGTCACACAGGAGCCAGAGGCATGACAGCCTCGCTTCCCCACCAGAGTTCTTCTCTAAGCAGAAAGTGGATGAAGAGAAAACTAGGGAGAGGCGAGAACATGTGCTTACCCCACGGTGGCGCTGTAAGGCCAACACCAATTTATATACGTAAAAGCAATTGGAAGATGGCTGGGTTAATCAGCATTAGCCACTGCTGTCACTCATTACTCAGAGTTCGTGTCCAGTGTGAGCTCCTCGGGGAAAGCACCGCACCCACTCTGTGGGTCAGCTCCTCTAACTACACCCTCTTGCAAAAAGTCCTGTCGCAGTTTGTCATGACACACCCATGTGAGGTTTTAGTTCATATTCTTCAATATCCCAGTGTCCCGTACTGGTAAAAACAAACAAAATCTCAACTTGATAAATCTTTCTTGAATGAGTGGATGAGTGAATGAAACATTCATTGCTGCCCTAGAGTCCTACATTCTCCTCCCCTGGTGGGAGGAGAATATTCCTCTTTGTCTCCCTTCATGCCGGCCGGGGACTCTCACGCATTTCCCACAGCTAATCTGCATGGTGTTTACAGGCGCCTTCTGAAAGCCTCCCACTTCCCCGTCCTAAACTCCGCGAGGCTGTGTCTCCAGAATGTCAGCCTCTCTTGTTATGTCTCCTTCTCAGAAGAAGCGAGAAATGCAGACAAGGGAAGTTTTCAGTTCCTCTCCTCATTGTGCCAATTGTATAATGAATCTGTGGGACTGAGTTTATTTCCAAATTTAGACCCACTCTGCTCACAATGGAAGCTTCTAAGCTCATCTCAGAGGATCTCAAACCCACTTCTGACTTTTAAAGATTACAGATTTTTCTAAGTTTTGATGAGTGGTGGAGTGGGAACAGAGAGTTCCAGAAGACATGCTGCCGAGTTTCAGTTCATCACATCCTTCCCATCCAAGTGTGGTTCTTCAGAACCCACACACGCTTTCTGCTCTTGTGAGCATACTCTTCAGAGACAAATATTTCCCTTGCCTTTCAAAGAAGCAATTCTATTCTTGGCTGCACAGTTCCTTCTAGCCCATCTTCCTGGCTTCCTTGCTGTACAGATTGTTTTAGCAGTCTTTGTGATCTTTGTCCCCTTAATCTTGGCATTTTCATTTTCACTCTTTGGAAATTAATGGTTGGCAAGAGTCAGCGTGAGTTCTGATCCTTGCTTTGCTATGTTACCTTAGCATTCTTATCTGCACAAAACTGGCAATACTTACTTCCCAGGTTAATCACATTAAAAATGAAATAATGACCACCTGACTCCCAAGCACAAGGACCCAAGTTCGATTCCCGGTACCAAAAAAAAAAAAAAAAAAAAAAAAAAAAAAAAAAAAAAAAAAAAGGAGATAATGAACATGTAACATCAGGTATCTCTTTGTTTCTAGTGAAGATCCAAAGTGAGAACAACAGGTGTTAGGAGCCCCTCACTCTAATCAGGGACCCTGGGCCACCCAGGCAGGATTTGCCTAACCTCCCTGGCCCTTGGACACACTTCCTCCTATAGGCAGCACCAGGAACACTCAGGGACAGGAGAACTGTCCCAGAGGAACCCAGGGGAGGACCCCGGAGGACCCCAGCCTTCCTTCCTCCTTTCCCTCCAGCGTGGAGACTCAGAGTCACTGGGGGAAAAGGGGAAGGTACAGGCAGACAACGTGGAAGCGTGATTACCAAGCACAAGAGACTGTGCCCCTCTTCCCCCTCCACTGCCCAGACCGTGCAAGTTAGATCTACGCTGGCCAGGGGCCGAAGTTTGGGACTGGATGAGAAATTGAAGCTTTGATATTAGAGCAGATTGACAATTCCAATGGCAGTCCACCAACTCTCGCTTAGCCAATACCTTTGGTCCCGATCTACTCTAGGACCAGTTAGATTTCAGAACGCAGAACCTCTTCCATTTTTAGGTTTTTAGAAAGGGCATCCTATTGTGCATGAGTGCAGGGAAGCACCCATGAGCCGATACTTCTATTGTACTACGTACAATGTACTGTTACCCACCCAAGGCAGGGTGCACAGAGGGGCTACAGGTAGCCATACATCGGGCTGTGCTACCTAATGACTGTAGCAAACTTCAAATACATTTTGACTTCTCAGGGTCTGCGTAATTCAGGCTTGCAGGTAACTCTTTAAATGAAAGAGTTTCCCAAACAGGAATGTTCACTGTGCACGAAAGAGACCTGAGAAGATCAAGAATCTGCCCCAAATCTCTCCCAGGGCAGGAAACCTGACAGAGTGTTTCCCCATTCATTTTCAGGAAACAACACAAAAACTTTTCTCCTCAAACCCCACTGAATTGAATTCTGCTCATTCCAGAAATCAGTTACCTTTACAAGTGTGTATTGTGTCACCCTTGCATTTTTACTGTAGACAACTGGTGAATGCTCACTCTGTGTCCTCTGCCACCAGATCCTCCATGTCTTCATCAACACTGTACCTGCCAACTAGCTCAGAAGGGGTCAAGATCTTTTCCCAGAGGGAAGCCGGAGCTGCAGCTCTGCACTTTACTGGGGCGCCTGCTTAGGGCCTTAGGGCACAGGTAGAACCAGCAGCCACCAGAGAGCACAGCCCTGAGCACAGCGCTCCACTGGCCCCCAGGTCAGCCTCTGAGACAGGCCTGACGGCAGCTCCAGGCAGATGGACTGACAGACAGCACAGCCCCATGCACCCCACCCTCTCTGCAGTGTCCCTTGCCCCTGAGAATGTGGACTCTACACTTGTCCCCAAGAAAGATCAGCCGGACCTGGAATTCTGCTCCCTCTTCAAAGCCCCCTTACCAACCCCCAGGACGCTGTGGAGAGGGTGGAGCTGGGAGACAAACAGGAAGCAGTGAGCATGCTTTGGAGCTGGACCAGCTACAGCTTTCTCATGGGTACACTGCTGGGGACTCACTGGGGAGTGAAGGGCTGGGATTCTTCCAGGGCTTGGCCCCAAAGTTGCACCAGGAAGACTACCTGAGAAAGAAACCACAGGGGAAGTTACAAGGGTCTCACAACCAACAAGTTGTGACTTCTCTAGAGAGTAAATCATGAGTTCTAAGCCACACAACTAGAAGCCTGAATTATCTAGAGAAATGCTCTTCAAACATTGCTACCAGGCAAAGAGGCGAAATATAAATAGTCAGATATGAAAAAAAGAAATTGTAGAACCATGCCAGGCAAAACATAAACATTGTTATTTTTCTGGATACAGTCAGATTTTTAGTATCTATCAAGCAACAAAGTTGAAATGTGATTTTTTTGTTTGTATTCAAAGTAATTTCCACGTTCATATCTTTGTACCAGTAATATTTTATTTTATTTTAGCATTTTTGAAGAGACTCCCAAACTATGTACACTGCATGTTACAAACTCTGAATATACCCAAATTCTCACCTTTTTTTTTTTTAAATTGCCTTTGACATAGTCTTGGGAGTCTCTTTTGATCATTTTCTGTGCTGGCTGGGGAGGAGGAATTGCCCATGGGGGTGGGATTAGGGAGTGGTGCAGTGGAGTCTTCCACTCAACTTCTCAACTTCTGAAATGTACAGAGCTGCCTCCTATAAGACCACCTACCAGACAGCAACCGTGTTCGTCCTCAGAACCACTGAAGTCGTGGAACCATTTCCCAGAACTCGGCCCTGCAGAGAGGAAACCCTCGTCTCTGGAAGATGAAGGGACAGACTACTGTAGGAGGTTTCCTGCTCATGTCTCCTAACTCATTGTGGAGAAGAGATGAATAGGCTAAGAATCCAGAAATGGTAATGATGAAGCTTTCATAGGGGTAATGACGTGAAACACTGCAGGGAGTAACGTTGAGAGACACTGTGAAGGTAAACAGGTATGGGAAGATGCCAGAAGCACGTGTTTATTTAAAACTTGAATGCATAGATATGACAGTTAAGCTCGCTGTCACCTTGATGGGCCTGGGAAGTTACCTATGGCAGCCGTGAAGCCCACTTCGGGGTGTTTCCCATGGGGTCAGGGAGGAGTGGTCCCGGGGGCTGAATCTGGCCCCCAGCCCCTTCCTCTCCGGCACCATTACTAATCTGCTGATGAACTCAACCACACACCCACCGTCAAGTCACTTCCCAGAGCCCCACCTTGGAGCACGTGAGACTTTTGGAGGCATCTAGATAGAAAAATAACAATTAGACTTATTCTAAATAGCCTCACTCTTAACTTTTCTTCATTTCCCCTCTTTACCCTTCCCTGAAATCAAGAGGTTAAAAAATGTTTTTAACTGATTATTTTTTCTAAAACTTAGGAGAGATGGTGGTAGATACTTGACTAAAAGAGGAGAAATGAAGTATATTCTGGAAAGACAGGTTTTGGGGTAGTTGTTAACAGGAGAAAATGTATACAGGTTAGTTAGACTTTTTGAGAAGAAAGGTTGGAGTGCTGAAACTCATTCTTTAATTGGATGACGGAAGAAAGGAACCATTAATCTAGGATGCTTTACCTCAACAGATCAAAAATTTCAGGGCAGAGGCCTGCAAGGGACATGATATCCGAGGCTGTCAGCCCCTGTCACAGGGGCTGCCCATGTAAGATTGAACAGCTGACTGTTGTTTTTTTTTTGTTCTGCTTTTCCTTTTTGACACAGGGTAAGCATATGCATCCAGGCCATTTGGTAAATGTACACGTTTATCTAGAAAAGCAGTGATCAGCCCTCATGTGAGGCAGGAGGCGACTGCAGAGCATGGATGAGATTATTTGCTAGGAGTCCCTTGAGGATGAAAGGTGGGGTGTGGCAAAGCAGCTTCGGGGAGTAGCTGTGACCAGATCCCAGGACACATGAGCCCAACAATTCTCAGGGCCCCATACATGGAGTTTTGTGGGTCCCTGTGATGCATGGAAGGAATAAAAGGACACAGATACCATGAAGAGCTCACTACCTCTTAGCCCACCCTGTGTCCACCAGGATGTACTTTTATATTACTTTGTTTTTTCTTTTATCTTTTACTTGTCCCAAACTCAATCTGCAGAGTGAGCTTACTTTTTAGTTCTCCCTTGCTTTACACTTTTAACTTTTCCTACCTCAAATAAATGCGAAACTTTGCCACCATTCTTGCTTGTTTCGTTCAATTCTTTGTTTGAGATGAAACCTGGAAACCACCCTAGAAGGAGACTGTCTGGTAACACCCTTCATTTCTCCTCAAAAATGACCACTCCTTGCCCATAAATTTTGCACTGGGAAATCATATCATATTCTATCACCTCATCTTTCCGGAAATTGCTGTTAGGTCTAAGGGTGGGGACCTAATCAAAGCAACCTAGTACAACCCTTCCCACCAATTTAAAACTTATAATTGTCACTGTCAGTTTTTCTCACGTGGTAAGAACTGTGTAGCACAAACCCAGGAGCCACTGGGTCTCAAGTCCCACCCTGTGGAAGAGGCCAATCTGTAGTCAATGGGAATGAAGCAAATGCTCAGGAGCCGGCGCATGAACCACCCACATCCCAGGTGGTGTTGGCATCCAGGGCCAACAAGGCTGGCCCACGTGCTTCTCATCGCTACACTTTGGTTCTTCTACATTTCCTTGGATCCCATGAGCCAAAACGTCCCCCCTTGCCTGTGCTAGATCAAGCTAGGCCTGGGTCACTTATTACCAATGAAGTTGTTTAACATGCTGCTTAATTAAAATATTTGACTAATTAAGAATTGAAACTGCTTTACTTTAATCCTTTTCACAAATTAAAACTTCATAGTTTGATTTCCTACCTCCGAAAGTGAAATGTACTGAATGTAATTATTTACTTGGACTCAATATTCAGCACACCAGTTATTGATACCAGTAAGAATGAAGGTGTAAAAAGCACAGCCATTTTGATCCCAGGAAAGAGAAGGGTTGTTTATAATAAGCATGTGAAATGAGTTGTCTGGAACTGCACTGTCTCAGTCAGTAAGCATTTCTTCAGAGGCTGCTCAATGTCCAACAGTGATCTTGGTGCTGGGAGGGTACACCAGTAAGACAGACCCAAACCCCTACACTTACAGAGCTTTACAGGTCAAGCTTTATAGAGCTTCTATCCTAGTCTACTTCTACTACAGAGTAGATCGGACACTTAGTGGATAGAGTGTCAGTTAGCTATGTGCTAATCAGTTTGGAATTTCAGGCATCTTTGTCATGGAACAGCCACACGTTTGTTACAGTGAACAATTATCTCCCTCCACCTATCTTTCCCCACCCAACATAATATGGCAAAGATTCGTTCCTTAAGTCCTATCAGTGTAGAACATGCTTAAACAATTTCCTGCTCCTGCTAAACAAAGCTCCATGTCATCCAAAATTTAATGTTAAAAAACTAAGATCTCCCATTTTCCTTTTCCTCCAGTACTTCCTAATGCATATTTTTATCATTATCACAGTGCTGCTAGCATAGGCCAGTAAAATTCTACTTAGCAAATTTCAAATATAACCTGCATATGTAGGGAATAAATAGTAGTCTTGCCTGCTTCCACCCCAGCTATTTCCATGCCCAGGGTATCGGTTGGGTTGGGAATAGTCAGCCTGCTCACCACTCAGGCACCAGGCAAAATGTAGCTGGTGAGAAAAGAGTCAGAAGACAGAGAGAGCTGGGGAACCCAGTCTTTGGTGAAGAGGCTCTTCCTAATTAAAACTAGCAGGTGTAGGAGGTTTTCAAAGCCTTGTTGAGGAAGCAACTTTTCATGTGGAGTTCACAAAGACTTACAGTATTTTAAATCTGAGATGTGATTTAAAAGGCTTTGCGTTATCTCCAATTAGCAATAAAAGAAAGTAATAGTACAGACTGACTTGGGCTGGAACCAAAATAAGGATGAATAGAAAAACCAGAAAGAAGGCGTCCAACAGTGCACTAGAATTCCACTGACACTGGAACAGACCATTTTCTTTGACACTCTTGACTAAAGTGTGTGTGCATGTGTGTGTGTGTGTGTGTGTGTGTAATAAATGTTTTACTTTAAGCCAGTCATGGAGAAGAAATTGGTTACTACTATCAGAGCCACACGTGTAGAATCGTAGATTTTTTGCATATAACATGTATCATAACTGCATGGGAAACTGTAGGTTTCATTCTGTATAGCACAGTCACCTAATTTCTCTCTTGTCTTTATACCAGTTTTAAAGTTTTTCCCCCTTAAAAAGATAAATGCATTTTCACTGTTTTCTTATTGGGCAAAATTGAGGAATTCAGAAAAGTACCACATTAAAAAAATAATAATAATAGAAGCAAAAACCAAGCCAAACCAAAACAAAACTCAGTAACACTCTCATTGCTGGGCCACAATACCCAACATCCACAATTTGAAGGCGCAGAAGTTTATTTTGGCTCACCGTTATACTCCACGGCTCGCTGGCTGGCTCCAGGGTAAGAGCAGAAAGGCAGAGGGACTCAGGGGAGGGAAGAAGTCTACGTCACAGCGGCCAAGAGGGCCATAAATGCTTCCGGGTCACAGCCAGGGCCCTCCTCTTCCTGCCAGGCACCACCTCTGAACAGTAACTCAGCTGTGAGCCCCATGATTCTGTCACTTTCCAAGAGCCCTGCCTCTGAGTGCATGAGTGCATGAGCCCTCTGGGGCAACATTGTCGATCTGACCCATAACAAAAACCCAAACATCACATTTTAGGAAACCAGCGTCTTTACCTCATTGTGCAGAAAGAATCTTTATTACGTATTTGACATGGGTACTTTCAGTCTTTGTATGTCCTTTTGTTTCTTCTTAGTGAACATACTGCAATATAACATTACAACCTTTTCACTTAATGGTAGTATATCATGGAAATGTCACCCGATATTATTTCAGATGTTTCCAGCTTTAACAACACCGCTTCAGTTCCTTGTAAATAAATTTCTGTCCCACTTTCAGGCTGATCTCTTTAATTAATTATGAGGTTACCAATTTTGGGGCTCTGGGTGTATAGCTCAGGTGTAGGGCACTTGTGTACCATGCACAAAGGCCTGAGGTGCATCCCCAGAATCACACACACACACACACACACACACACAAATGTTTTGATACAACTTATCAATTTTCCCTCCAAACGGTTTCTGTCGTATCTAACAATTTATACTCTCAGTAATGCAGTGCATGTCGTACTTCTTTCTCCTAATGCTAGGAATCATTAATTTTTAAAACAATTTTAAATGAGAAAAAAATCATTCTTTGCTCAAATTTGCATTTCTCTAAATGTTAGTAAATGCATTCCTATATATTTGTGGTCCTTTTATATTTCCATTTTGTGTATACTTATTGCTCTTTTAAATATTTTTGTATCTTTTGAGAATTTTAAAACTAATTACCTTGTACAGGACTTTTTATCATCTTTTTATTACCAGGCAATTCTTTCCATTTCCTTTTAAAAATTATGCCTACATATACATATATGTGTGTGTATTTGGTATTTTTATATAGTCAAATTTATTGATTTTTCTCCATAATAATTGAATGTTTACCATGTACCAATTTCATTGTATTTTATTAACATTATTTCTTTGTGAATTCTTTAAGTACTAGGGTTAGTTCTACTTTTATACATGAGAAACTGACGCTGAGAAAGGCTTATAGACTTGCCCAAAACAACAAAGCCAATAAGAGGCACAAGTGAGATTCGAACCCCACAGTAGTACTTCAGAAGTTGGCACTGTTTGAGTGCATTCTGAATGTGTTCAGGTTCTTTGTCTCTGCTTCTGAGCCTAGTGTTCCATTAGTTGATCTCTCAGATTTCTTACTCCAAATCCATGCTGCTTGAATCATCACTAATTTATAAGGAATTTCAATAGGCGAGAGTATCCATTTTTTCTTGGGTTTCTTGACTATTTTATCACATGAACTGTACAATCATTTTGTTAAATTAGAAAACAAAACTGGCTCTTGCATTCAAAATATTTAAAAATTAATTTGGGGGCACTTATGTTTGTATAAAATTAAACTGTTTTATCTAAGACTAGAGAATAAATCTCTCTATATTCAAATCTTTCCAGAGTTTCTCAGAAAAATTTGTATTTTTCTTTCCATAAAGCATGTATGATACTTAAGGTCAGTTTGTTCCTAATTATTTTATAGGTATATTATTTTCACTATGGAATTTCTTCTTATGATGTTTTCTAACTCAGCATTTACCAACATGTCCTCTGTGGAATACAAATTCCAAGAAATTATCTGGAAAGGGTTCTGTGGCCTACAAATTTGAGGTAATACTTCATAAACTCTGCGTACACGTGGCCATGAAACTTCCAGGGGAGGTCACAGTAGGAAAGGTTGCCAAAGTTTATTTCATGCAGAAATTTAATTTTGAGGAGCATTTTTTAATTTCAGACAGACTACCATTTTAGAGACCACAACCTGAAAAGTTCTGCTCTACATTTGCACCACTAAAAATATTTGTGTATTTCTTTGAGGCAGATATTTATAATCGTGTTAACGAAGCGCCTTCCTATTTCTAGACATATTGTTGTCAGGAAGCAACTATCTGAGATCTTCCTCTTCCGGACAATGAATGCAATAGATTCAATAATAGAAGCCAACCTTAAACTAACTCAATATGCCTACAAAAATACTCAATTTGATCCATTGATTTTTTTTACACTCTTAATATTATAATAAAGGGTTGCATTTCTTAACATTTTACTGAGCTTTTTACCACTATATTTACAACTTAAATTGGAGTAAATTTTCTCCTTTTTTTCCTCTCCCGTTTTTCTTACCTTCCACATTCCTCCTCCCTCTTTTGCCACTGCTTTCTTTCTTCAACCTTTCAGTCTCTCGTCTCCCTCTAGCCTTCCTTGGGTTGTAAAGCTGGAGCTGTGCTATCTTTCTAAGATGACTGGATTGCCCTCGGTGCCTTTCTGGGATCCAGACATTGCAATTCTTTGAAACTGTGTAAGAATTTTCCCATAGTCAAGAGTTGTTAAACTTAAAAATGAAAGACAACTTTAAATTAACTTTTTAAAGGATTTACATGACAATATGGCTGACTGGGTTTGGTATTTCTACATTCCATTCTTGGTACCTTAGATGTCCCTTACAAAGTATCTGTTCCACCCAGATTTGCAAGTGTGCCCAACCAAAGCCTCAGTGTTCTTTTATTGTGAGAATCACCCCCTCCTTCCAAATGCTTTTTATGCATTCATGGCTGTTTCTCTCTAAAGATCTGACTCTTTACTTTGCATTTCTTCTCACTTACTAATTTATATATATTTTTAAGATTTTTTTTTCACTTTCCTTGAGTTTGTTTTGTGCTTTAACCAGACTGTCTTTAAAAACTTAATTCCCTTATTGCCATTTGTAAAAAAATAGAAATTAATAGCAAATGAGAAGTATAGTTTTTTCTTTGCTTATGGTTTTGTCCAAATCCCTTAAGTTTTGATACTGAATATAGCGCACAAGTGAAAAGTGCAAATTCTGCATTCAGATTACTTGTTTTAAGTCAAGCTCTATCACTAGCTACGTGACTTTGAGCAAGATCTGTGACCTCTCTGTGCCTTAGTTTGTTTAAGCACCAAAGGAAGATAATAAAATCCACTTAAGGGAGTTTAAGAGGATTCAGTAAAATAATTATGCATAGTTATTTTACAGATATATGTAATAATATATGCAAAGTCACATGGACATGTAGTAAGTATAGAATAAATGCCTATTATATTACTTTTTAATTTTCTAAACTAATTTATTTTGAACCCTACTTACCTCAATTATTAAGAGTTTTACTTCTTTTCATTAATTGCTACTTTTACTGCACGGCATCTAGAGAATTTGGTTTATAAATTTTGTGGCAATGCAGCTTTTAAGGCAAATGGATGAAAGAGGAAGGTAACTGCATTCGCTGTGCACTGCTAGACACAGAATCGTTTTCAGAGCTCTCACCAGGCAATGTGGGAATCTGATATGTGTGGCTTTCTTACCCAGTCCCTCAATTTCTGCATTAGGATGCTATACGAAAAGTTTCTGTAATGTATTTTGTCTTCGGAACACACACACACACACACATACACCCACACACACCCCAGCTTCCTAAGCTTCTACACCTGCTTGGCTCTTTTCCAAAAGGTAGCTTGCTGAAAACAAGAGAAAGACATTATGGAATAATTTAGGTACTAAACAAATATTCTGCAAGCTCAAAGATTAGTTTTTGTAAGAGGAAATAGTTTTATCAAAAAGTTTTTAAATAACTGAACAAAGAAGATGTCTCAAAGAAGTGACCTATAACATCAAAATCCGCAATCAAAGTACCCCGGGAGGCTGAGGCAGGAGGGTGACAAGTTTGAGCCTAGCTTTGGTTATGTAATGAGATCCTGACTCAAAATGAAAACCAAAAAGGGCTGGGGATGTTGCTCAGTACAAAGGTCCAATCCCACTAGTGCAATTAAAAATAATAATAATAATATCTCTCCCTTGATGCTAATTCCACCATGCATTTCTGGGGGAAAACCTGAACAACGGGTCTGGGCAGAGCCCTTGCTTAGCATCCACGAAGCCTTGGTTCAATACTCCACACCACATTTTAAAAAAGAAAAAACCTGAAGAGGTGAAAGATATGGGTCAATATTTAGCACCATTCCATTTAAGGGATGGCTGAGTCACTCTAATCTGACGTGTGCTGAAAAGTCTTTCTCAGCTATTCCTTACAGGCCTCCTGGATTCTTTTCCTTAAGACAGGTAGCTCTCAAAACTGGCTGCTTACCTGAGGAACTTTAAAAACTAAATCGGTATGTAGGCCTCACCAAGGCCACGTGAATGAGAAACTTGGATCTGGGGGGATGGAGCCCCCAAAATGATCCCCAGATGACCAATGTGTAGCCATGGTCGGGAACCAGCGGCCCAGCGTTACGTCCTCCACCACACCCAACAGGAACGCCGAGTGTGAGCCACTGCCCCTCCTCGGCTGGCAGCTGTGTGTCCCCTTCCAGCTCAGTAGAGAACAGAAGGCTGGCAGAGCAGCCCTAGGGAGCGAGGCTCCAGTGGGAGAGAGAAGCCTGGAGACTGAGGCTGGCAGGGGACGCTGGCCACTGACTGCGGGGCAGGAAGGACCAGGCACAGGGCAGGCAAAGAGCACTGCTGAGCCAGGGGCAGGAGGGAAAGACCAGGGAAGGAGAATGAAACTGTGCCCTACCTAACAGGATGCTGTGCTAAAACATTTCGCTTCCCTGCACACTCGGACACACAGCTGTTTCTGGGTGTGATGGCTAGGAACTGACTGTCGGAGGCCCAGGCTCCCTGGTCCCCCTGCTTTCCAAACTTTAAGGGAGCCAGGAACACTCCAGGGCTTAGGGGAGAAGGTGGATTGGGACTCAGCAGGCCTGAGACTCTTTACTGCCAACGAGCTTCCAGAGGGGACCAAACCTCTGGTCCCCGGAACACACCCTGAGAAATAAGTTCTTGTGCTGCACTGCCTGTGTCT